ATCTCAAGGCGGAGCGGCACGCCCTGTGAACGTTCCTGGTTAGATAACGGGCGAAGGGAAGGGGGAAAGGAACGCGGGAGAAAGTGCTCGCCTTCTGCTCCCAGTCGTTGAACTTGAACCCGGGGGTGTAGCCCTCGCGGAGGTCCGCGCGCGCGCGAACGCCGGCCTTCTTGAGCGTGTCCGCGAGCTTCTCGGCGGCCGCATTGACGGCGTTGCGCTGCTCGTCCGTCGACTTGGCCGTGATACCACAGGGGACAACGACGACCTGGACAGCGGCGACCCGCGGGGGCAGGACGAGGCCCTGGTTGTCGCCGTGAATCATGACCATGACGCCGATCGTGCGTGTCGACAAGCCCCACGAGTTCTGCCAGACGTACGCCTTGCCGGTGCCCGAGGGGTCGTTCGGATCTTCGACGAAGATATTGAACATTTCCGGGCGCGAGAAGTTCTGGCCCAGACAGTGCGACGTTGCGCCCTGGATGCCGCGGCCGGTCGTGGGCACGAAACCCTCGACGGTCGTTGTGTAGAGACCGCCGGCAAACTTCTCCTTCTCGGACTTGACACCCGGAATGACGGGGACGGCAAGCAGCTCCTCGTATACTCGCCGGTAGAGTTCGAGAATCTCGAGGACCTCCTTGTCCGCTTCAGGCTTCGTGAGATGTGCGGTGTGACCCTCTTGCCAGAGGAACTCGCGAGTACGGAGGAAGGGTTCTGGGCACCACTGAGAGGTTGTGGGCGACGGGAGGAAATTTGCTACTTACGGGGGTTCTTGAACTCCCAGCGGACGACGCTGTTCCACTGGTTCAATTTGAGGGGAAGGTCGCGGTGGCTTTGGATCCACTTCGCGTAGTCTGTAGGGGCGGTCAGTAACCCGCACGATGTCCGAACATGGTGGCTTACAGGGGTACATGACAGTTTCTGAAGTTGGACGAATAGCGATGGGCTCCTCGAGCTCGGACGTACCACTGCCTTCAGGTTAGTTCCCCATCTGGTACAGCTACTGCCTTGACGTACGCTCGCGTGACCCAGGCGACTTCAGGGGAGAAACCCTCTACGTGATCCTTCTCCCGCTCCAAGACCTTCGACGAGACAAACATTGGGAAGTACGCGTTTTGGACACCCATCTCCTTGATCTTGCTGTTGAACCAATCTGCACGTCACTCAGCTCCGATGCACGCCAACCTGTACAAGATTTGTGGCATACCTTGGATCGTCTCCCAGATATTGAACGACCAGGGACGCAGGATGTAACATCCACTGACGTTGTAGTACTCGAGCATGTCGGCCTTGATAAGCACGTTCGTGTACCACGTTGGGAAGTCGACCTCCTTCTTCACGCCGATAGCGATCTGTACAGCGCCCTCAATCTTTGCGGCCTCCTTTGCCGGGGCAGCGGAAGTCGAAGGGGCAGAGGCGGGAGCCTGCAGGTTGGCGATGTCCAGCTCGTGAAGAGTAGGGGCACCCTCAGTCGCAAACTGCTTCACGTAGGCGTAGAGATCCTTGCCGGAAAAGAAAACAGTCGTTTCGGAAGAAAGGCCGCGCACGGCGAACGTAGAAGTGGAGGTTGCGATGGCGGAGTCGATTACGGTAGTGACTTTAGAGTATGTTGAGGCATTGAGAGCGAGAGGGGACACTGCGAGTATGAGAGCGTCAGATGCCATCGCTCAATCTGTGTATCAGGCGGGCTTGGTGTAGTGGTTATTTTCTGGGGGTGCCATGTTTTATCCACGCATTCACTCTGCATCTACATGTGAATTATAAAACGCGCTGTACGGGTTGCATCCGAAAGAGATCACGCCAGACATCTTCGTTCCGAGGGCCATCTGCGACATGGGCGAAGAGCACTCACGGAATAGTACTCGGCACGCACACGTTTCTCCACGCACATCGCCAAGGACATAGTGAACGTGTGGGAGACTCACGAGAGTTTTTGTCGAGGGCGAAGAACTCCTTGAGGAGGTCCTCGGACGCAAGACGGAGGTCCTTCAAATTCAAGTTCTTGCCGAGCACGCCCGAGGGCACGTCCGTCGTTTCTCGCGCGATCACGACCACGGGCACGGGCGTCGCCGTCTTTGCAGTCTTGGGCTTGTATACGAGCGTCTTGATCAGCTCGAACGGCTTCGGAGCTGCCGCGGTCGCCTCGAGGGCTTCGCGCCAGGACTGGGGGGAGTTGGTGGGGGCATGCGCGACAGTCGCGGTGGGGGCGATGGTGAGCCCCGACAGAGCCTGCGTGATGGCGTCCAGGGAGGACATGGCGGGTGGAGAGGTGTGCAGAGACCGAGTAGCGGGCAGACAGAGCGTGTCAAGAGCGTTTTGGGGGCGAGAGCGAGAGAGAGAGCGAGGGTTTGGACCCAAGTCGGCGCTTTTGGCTGACTCGACTGTTTTGGTGCACGGAGATGTTATCAGATGCAGCTGCGATAGAGCTGGCCGCGGTGCGCGAGCGCGAGGAGCCCGGCGGACGACGGCCCTCGACGCGAGCAGCATCCGCACTTCCAGCCCAGGCAGAGGCAGAAGCAGAGGCAGAGTCCAGCGAGTGACGCGACAACTTGCACACGAGCCGCGACCGCGACCGGACGGGTCGACGCGATCGGGGCGCTCAACATATCTACCCGAGCGCGTTCTCCTCCGACTCGTCCCTCGCGCTCTGCGGAAAGCACTTGCATTGTATGTTGTATATACAGACAAGGACATGCGACGTATATCGTGATCATTAACAGCCACCATTCCGATTCGTACAAAGAGCGAGCTGCGTGTCCGTGCGAGATGCGACGAAAGGGAGGCGGTCAGTGGTATATGGTATGGTACAGCCCAGACAGTGGCAGACGGGGAGACGGGGTGCTTCATGCGAATCGTACGTGGGTTCATGCTTTCATGCTTGCGTAGGGCCGGGGGTAGAGGGGCCTTCGTCTTCTTCTAGTTTGTGTTCGGCGTCCTCCTTGATCTCTTCTTCTATGGCCTTCCGCCCCTCGTCCGTAAGGGTTGGCATGCCCGACGAAATATCGGGGTCGAAGTAACGGGGAACGAACCTATAACAGGAATATAACTAATGAGCATCTGCACATACCGAAAAATGCAGCATACTTACTTGACGCCTTTGCGCTTCCGTTCTGCGGCCTCGTCTCTCTGCTTCTGCTCGATCGTGAGCTTGTGCTTCGTCGCTTCGCTGTACTCCTTCTTCAGCAACCGCGTCGTGACACTGTCCCACAGCTTCCTGCTCTCGTTGGGGAGCTGCCTCTCCAGCGGCCGCACTGTCTTTGGAATAACGTGCAGCGTGGACAGGTCGAGCAACGTCGCATACTCGCTATCCGGCGCGTCCACGCGCTTCCACCGAATCTTGTGCCGCCACGACCCGTCAAACACCGCCAGCACACGCTCGCGCGGGACGTGCTTCACCCGCGTCCACTCCTCGTGCACGCTCTCCTTTGGATCGTACGTGTGGATGACGCCCTCCAGGTGGAACTGCGCACGCCCGAGCCACGACTCCTCCTTATAGTCGATCACCGCCCGCAGCTTCTTTCCCTCCGCGCCGCCCGAGCAGGTGACGATCGTCGAGTCCCCGACCGTCACGTAGAAGCTGCCGCGCAGCAGCCCGTTCACCGCCGCGATCGGGTGCGTGATGTGGTACGTCTCCCCCTCCCCTGGCGCGCCCGTGATGCGCACGAAGAGACCCTTGTTGAACGAGCCAGGCATGACGCGCAGCGTCGTGCCCGACACCTTGGCCGAGATCTGGTCGACCCCCGCGAGTTCGACGTGGCGGCTCGGGCAGCTCGCGTGGAACGCGGAGATTGGGGGATGGTGCGAGACCTGCTCGGTCAGGTAGGCGATGCGGATGCGCGGCTTGTCCGCAGCGGCTGCATCCGCCTCCTGCAGTTCTGCCACGCCGGACGCAGTGTCGTTCGCGAGGCTCAGGTTCGACATGCCCGCCTCGAGGTTCGTCTCTATGAGCTCAGGCGACGTTGCAGGGGTGGACTTGGCGGTCGCCGAGTGTGCACGGGACATGAAGCTGAGGCCGCTGAAGGCGCTCTTCCCACTCCTGCCGCTCTTGACGCTCGCGTTCTCGGAGAACGGCGGGTGCGCGAAATCAGGCGTCGAGTGCGTCGCGGGGCCGTACAGCCATGATGAGATAGGTTCCTCTCCCGGCGGCGTCACGTAGAGGTATTGGATGGGGGGTTCGCTGGGGTCCGAGGGATAGTCGACCGGAACGATGTCCCAGTGGGAACGGAAGTGTTCGCCTAGAACCGAGTTGTACGGCTTGCACACCTTGCCCCTCTGTAAATGTCGTCAGTATGAAGCGCTAATGGGTAGCCCGAACTCGGCAAGGTGCGACCAAGTCACCCGTGATGAAGGACTGATACTCACGATGAACTTGAGGTCCTTCGAGAAGGTAAACCTCAGTACGGCCAGCATACGCTCGAAGGGATCGTCAGAATCATTGATGCTGCACATGACAAGTTCAGCATACACCCTCCGCCATTGGGTTTACACTCACGCAGCGAATAGGTCCGGTCTGTCCAAGTATTGCCAGTACTCCAAGTTGGGGATGGGCTCTAGCAACGACGCCGGGAGAGAAAGGCGCCTGGTTCCCCCCAATGAGTCGCGGGATTTGCAGTACAGCAAACAGCAGCCACGTACATAGCAGCGATATCCTTCACGCCCAGACACTTCTTGACGAGCTGGACAATCATCTTCAGCTTGCCACTCTCACCGGTGTCGCCGTTGTCCGGTACAGAGATAGGCTGTCCTGGGGCATCCTCGTCGATGGGCGCGCCCGCATTCGTCTTGTCCAACGTAGCCATTGCAGCCCAACCAAAAAGACAGAGAGGGTCGTGGTGGAGGAGCAAGGAGACAACAGACAAGAACGTGCGCGACCCGCTACGTCCGCTTGAGGCTTATGGGCGCTTGATTATAGCCATTTGGTACGCTGTGCCGACGCGGCGCTGCGCAAGCGGCGTCATGGCATTCATGCCAAGCAATGCATCCCCGCAGCACGGGAGAAAAAATGGTTCGACCCGGGTTCGAACCGGAGACCTCCTGTGCACCACAAACCCGAGAGCGGGCTTACAATGTGAGACAGACGTGATAACCAACTACACCATCGAACCTTAGAAGATGTGGAGTGCAAAAAATATACACTCGTTGGTCGCTTCATCAACGCCCGCCAATGTCAAGTAACGTTGCCGCCATTTGGCATCTTCGACGCGAACTTGGCTGACGCTGGAGGCCCGCTGAGGCTGCCTTGCGTTTACTAGGTTCGACCGTATAGCTCAACGCTACAACCACATGGGGTAATTGCCCAGACTCGCTATCATCAGTATGGGGATAAATATTGCGTCAGGGCAACCCTTTCACTCATTGACACATTAACTGACAACCTACTACGCCTACAGGATGATCTGTGACTTCTTCCACCCCGGCGTGGGTGGCGTAGAAAACCACATATACATGCTAAGTGCCGACCTAATCCGTCGAGGGCACAAGGTGATGCCCGCGCCACGTCGTTTGTTCGTTATTGACACATCGCCAGGTCATTGTCATAACACACAGCCATCCGCCCGACCGTGTAGGCGTGCGTTGGCTTCTTCCGGGCTTAAAGGTGTACCATATACCTTTTCCGACAATCGCCTCGTCCGCCACCTTGCCTAATTACTTCACCTTCCTGCCGTACCTACGGACTATAGTCTTGCGGGAAGGCATCGAGCTCATTCACGGTCATGCCAGCCTTTCATCGTTGGCCCACGAGGGAATCCTGCACGCTCATCTGATGGGTGTGCGTACAGTCTTTACAGACCATAGTCTCTTCGGTTTCGACGACGCTGCCAGTATTCTGACAAACAAACTGCTGGAAGCTGCCTTACGCAATGTAGACGCCGCTATATGCGTCTCACATACGGGGTATGGCAGCATGTCCTTTGAGCAACTTACAGCTAACTCAGAAGTACGTAGACGGGAAAATACGGTTCTACGAGCACGAATGCTACCATCAGCGGTGCATGTCATACCAAGCGCTCTTGTCGCTGACCAGTTCAAACCTGCTCCTGCTCTTCCTTCGGGAGATATCAGTGAGTATTCAAGCTAGCTCCACGATGCTGCCCCGTCTAAGGGTGCCCGCGCGTAGTCACTATTGTAGTGATAGCGCGGCTCGTGTACAGGAAAGGGGTCGACCTTTTGGTGGCCACCGCCCCACGAATCTGTGCTCGCTTCCCGAAGGTACGCTTCCTCATTGGTGAGTTTAGGACTGCTCATACCTCATACGGTACGTCTCTACCATGACTCACTATGAATTCATGTGAAGGTGGAGACGGTCCGAAGATGATAGACCTCTTGCAAATGCGAGAAAAATACCTCCTTCAGGACCGTATCGAAATGCTGGGACCAGTACGCCATAGCGATGTTCGAAACGTGAGTATTTTGGACGATACCCATGACGTTGACGTCCGAATGAAAGCCATTCCATACAGGTCCTGATCCAAGGAGCGATCTTCATGAACACATCTCTCACTGAGTCATTCGGCATCGCCATTCTGGAGGCGGCTTGCGCCGGCCTTTACGTTGTGTCCACTCGCGTAGGCGGCGTGCCAGAAGTTCTCCCTGAAGACATGATATCCTTCGCTAATCCTGATGAAGATGGTATGCTCAAGATGTCCTTCGAGACCGTATCGAGTGCTCACACGCCCTGTAAGACGTCGTCCGCGCCATGTCGGAAGCAATCGAGCGGGTCTCTGCTGGAAAACACGACCCTTTCCGCGCGCATGAATTGATCAAAGGCTTCTATGACTGGAAACAAGTCACTCGGAGAACAGAGTTGGTCTACGAATCGGCCCTGAATACGCCGCCCTACGACTTCTGGACACGATTGCATCGGTATGTCCTGTCTACCTGTCTACCTGGTTCCGAAAAGAGCGCTCATGCTTCGTCTAGGACGCTCGATGTCGGACGCTTCGCGGGCATCATCTATGCCATCATACTGCTCGTAGACTGCCTGTTTTTCATGTTCCTTGAGTGGTACCTTCCCGAGGACAAATTGGACAAAGTTCAGATGGATTGGGAACCCGAGCGCTTCCGGGAGGCAAGACGCTCTCATGATTCTACTCGCAGTCTACCATTCTCACATACACTCCGCAGGTTGTGGATGAGTGCGAGAGCCTAGAGGCTTCGAATTCATGAACCACTATATAGTAGTTCATCCTTGCCGCGGCGATAAGGTAGGCGAGCAGTGGTCAGTATTCGGTCACTGCGGGCGGCAAAATCCGTCAGATACTGATGCGCATCCACATTGTTTCCGCAGTGACAGAGACATACGTATGGCACGCTTCTTTTGACTTTTCGGTATCTCTTATCGCTTTCGTGCGGGGACTTCGCACATATGGCGCCTCTAACGTAGGCGACGTCTGCATACAGTCATTTTGTAGATGGCTCTTCGCCTCCGGATGTTCGGGCCGCGCGCTTTTTGCCCCTCACGTGGACCGAGTCAAAGATTATATGAATACTCCCGCCATCAACTTTAACTCTGGCCTCTTGCACTCCTCCCATCGGTGACTCCCTAGTTATGAGTTCGTCGGAAGATGAGAAGAACGGCAGCATACTTGAGAGTCCCCACTCGAAACGGCTTCCGCCGGTGCAACGGTGGTATGCGTCTGTGACTGAATTTTTGACCCACTGGGGCATCGAGACGAACGGGCAAGTCTTTCCAGTCGCCTTCTCGAATCTCCAGTTTGTTGACCGAATAAACTAACCGAGCGGCAATTTTCTCTGGTAGGATCGACCCCATACTGCCAGAAGACAGGACGGACACCAAGCTATACCAGATGTTCTTCGTATGGTTTTCCTCGAATATGAACGTCCTGGGGTATGTGCTTGCTCTGCGTATCGCTTTTGGACAGTGTCCAACTTTGAATTTGTGTGTCATCCTGGTAGGTTTGGTACCGGATCGGCAGGACCCGCGTTCTTCGGCCTTGGGCTGCGGGACTCCTTCATCATCCTGCTTATAGTAGATCTGATGTGGGTAGTGCTTCCGGTGGAAGTGCGCGTGGATGGAACCTGACTAAGGCTTAAGCTCGTGCGCAATACCCGCCTACTTGTAAGGTTTTGAGAAGGCGTTGTTGTCCGGGGCCGCGATACTCATTTTTACAGTGCAGTCTTTGGGCCTAAACTTGGCATGCGGTCAATGGTCTTGGCACGCTATTCGTGGGGGTATGTGTTATGTCCCGAGTCTCACATTAACTGCCACAAAACTCACATCCCCTTATAGATATCTGGGATCAATAATCCCTAGTGTCTTCACGGTGTTCTCGATGCAGGGCTTCCTGATTCTCAACTGCATAATTGGTGGGCAAACGCTCGCAAGCGTTTCCTCCCATCTCGACGACACGTTGGGAATTGTCATTATAGGCGTGCTATCGCTTATCGTAAGCTCCTTGAAAGGCATTTCCGAAGACTATACGCATCTTGACCTGGATTCTAGGTCACGCTCTTTGGGTATCGTGTGATTCATTTGTAGGTGTCTTGTGTGCATATTGATTCATAAGGAGGTCAAAATGAATCCCACGACGTCTCTAGGTACGAGACCGTCGCATGGATCCCGAGTGTCGTCACCTTCATCGTAATGCTCGGGCTCGGCGGTAAACACCTCACGGAAGCACCAGTCTCATCCTCACCATCGGCGGCCACCATACTTTCCTTCGCCACCACCACCGCATCCAGTGTCATTAGCTGGTGTATCATGACCCCGGATTATGGTGTATACCACACGAGCAAGGCATCAAAGTGGGCCCAAGTTAACTACTTCCCAGGAATGCCACTCACGTTTCTTTCTCTAGTACGAGGATTTTCCTTTATAGCTATGCAGGCTTCTTCATCGCCAGCGTAAGTTCACAACTCGTCAAGTGAAGTCCTACCGCGAACCCGTTTTCTACCAGCTCGCTGCACACTTTTTGGGTGCCGCCTTCGCCGCAGCGGCGTACGTGGTCCCATCTTGGGAAACGGGCTTCGACGGAGGCAACAGCGTCGGCGGGCTTATCGAGGCTGTCCTCTCCAAGGCTGGCGGGTTCGGCAAGTTCCTCACCGTGGTGTGCGCCCTGTCGATCCCGAGCACATGCGCGCCGACTATGTATACGTTCGCGTCCAGTTTGATGACGGTACACCCGTGGTTCGCTCGCGTTCCTCGTTATGTGTATGCGATCATCTCCACAGCAATGTGCGTGCTTTCTATAGCTATCATCATCGCGCGGGACCCACCTAATGAAGACCATGATGCGTAGCTTGATACCTGTGGCCATCGTGGGCGCAAACCACTTTTACAGTACGTTCGTGGACATCCTCAGTGAGTCTCCATATTATCTTCATCGGTGGGCGATTCTCACGATCAGGTAGGTGTCATTGGCTACTGGAGCACCGTCTTCTCTGCCATCGTCATCGCTGAACACCTCATCTTCCGCAAAAACGACTGGACGCGTTACGACCTCTCTCAGTGGTGCAAAGCTCGCGAACTGCCGCTGGGCCTGGCCGCCGTCTTCGCTTTTCTCTGCGCCTGCGGAATCATCATTCCATGCATGTCGCAAGTGTGGTATGTCGGACCCATCGCCATCGCCGGCACAGGCGACATCGGCATCTTGGTTGGCTTCGCGATGGCGGGACTCGTGTATCCTGCGGCTAGAGCAGTAGAGTTTGCGTTCTCCGGTAGGTAGGCGTCATCCAAGAACCTTGGTTACAATTTGTATTTTCCGGAAAAGGGGGTAGTCGCGGCTTGTCTTACACTCAGTCGTGGCGGCAGCAAGTGGCTATACGCGTGCGAGATCCACTGCGAGACAAAATAAGTGACGCGTTCTGATATTTGTGATGACGACAGGGTCCTCACCTCGCACGCTCGAGGCCGAGTGTCCCGGGGGTCGATGATCTCCTCTATCCCAAAGACGTTCGCCGTGCGTACTGGGTCGCGCACATGTTCGAATTTTGCCAAGAGATCCTTCATCAGCTCATCGCGGGCCGCCGGAGTAGGTGCATTGTCGAGCTTCCGCTTGTACGCGGCTTCTATGCCTCCTTCGAGTGGCAGGCTTCCCCAATCCGCAGATGGCCTGTTCGATATAACGGTCAGGATACGTAAAAA